TTTCTATCCCTAAGTCTACAGGTGAAGCATTGTCTCATCCAGGATGGCGATAGGCTATGAGTGACGAGATGTCTGCTTTACATACAAGTGGTACATGTGAGCTTGTTCCTCTTCCTTCAGGTAAATCTACCGTTGGTTGCCGTTGGGTTTATGCAGTCAAAGTTGGTCCCGATGGCCAGATTGATCGACTTAAGGCACGTCTTGTTGCCAAAGGATACACTCAAATATTTGGGCTAGATTACAGTGATACCTTCTCTCCGGTGGCTAAAGTGGCATTAGTTCGCCTTTTTCTATCCATGGCTGCAATTCGTCATTGACCCCTCTATCAGTTGGACATTAAGAATGCCTTTCTTCATGGTGATCTTGAGGATGAGGTTTATATGGAGCAACCACCTGGTTTTATTGCTCAGGGGGAGTCTCGTGGCCTTGTATGTCGCTTACGTCGGTCACTTTATGGTCTAAAGCAGTCTCCTCTAGCCTGGTTTGGTAAGTTCAGCACGGTTATCCAGGAGTTTGGCATGACTCGTAGTGAAGCTGATCACTCTGTNACGGTTAGAATAAAGTTACTAGCTTGGATTTCCCTCAAATCCTTCAGCCTCTCTGGAACCAAAATTGTAAGGAAGTTTTCTTACATCATAAACGAGTTCTCAGGTTTCTTGCTAACTAAACAAAAGGAAAGTGCATGAAAGTTTACTTCTTATCCCGAAAAATAAAATGCAGGAGAGTTTACTCCACCCCCCCCGCGCGCGCGCGCGCGCTTTTCCTTTATTTTCTTGTCTTTCAAGTTCACTCTTGGTGATTGTTATAATTGCTGTGTGTTGGTTTTCGTTATTCTTGGCTAATAATTCATTCATGCCTTGAATTAAGAATCCTGTGGTTATCTTTCAGTCATCTTTCATTAAATTTGATTAGTTAGAGGATTTTTGATTATTTCATGCTTCCCCTTCCACCTCCAGGCTTCAAATGGTAAAACTTTTGAAAGTAGTGGTGAGATCTAGGATGTATTGGTACCACAGCTTCCTGACCCCTTTCCTCCCCCACCACTGGCATTTGTTCTGGTGAGCTGGCTACTAAAAAAGTTAATACCTGACATCTATTTAATGCTTATGTTCACAGCTACTGATGGTTGATGGCAATGGATTGCTTCATCCTCGAGGCAAGTTTCGTTGTTATTTCTAGCTGGAAAAAAGATAATTCCTAAGTGTTGCAGATTGTTTATGGTGACTCGTCATTAGAAGATACCATACTCGCTCCATTTTTCGTGAATAAGATACTCAGAAACATTAAAAATATCGTCCTTTATCATGATCACATCTAGCATCATATTCTACATCTTTGCATTTTATAGCCAAACTCGTGTCAATTTTCCAACAATTACTAACTTTTATTCCTAAAACCCACTTTAAGAAAAATGTATAACTAATTGGACTTGCTTAGGTAATTTGATACACACGGAGTTTTCCATCTCTCTGTACCTTTTTGGCTATCTTGTAGGCTCGTTACACATATTGGCTAGTTGGTTCTCAGTTAATAAATCAGGGAATAATTATTCTCTTTGGATATTTCTCTATTTTAGATCTTGGATTTTGTATATGTGCGGCTAATGCATTCTTCAAAGAAAAGAGACTAGGAATTAATTTGCTCTCCGCTTAATTTATTACTGTGACTGTTTTGATCATTCTTTAAGGCTTTCACTCACATGTAGAGATCAATGCACTAAACCTGTGGCATTAAGTTGACTCTGCGGTATTTGTATTATCAATAGGAGATGATTAATGACAATCATAATCTTCTTGAACCTGATGATAATTTGACTGGATTGAAGAAGGCAATCATATGCTGGTGCTAAGAGTACCTTTTTTAGGTAAATTAAACTCAGTAAAGGACTAGATGCATTTTCCAGATAATAATTTGAATTATAGTTCATAATGGTGTTTCAGGCAAGTTGCAGTCTTATGAAGGACAGGATGCAATAGAAACTAAGTGATTCTTGCACATCTTTTATACATGTAATAAATTGAAAATGCACGAGATCAACTCTAACTTGATCAAGAAAGTCATTCAAGTGTCCAAACAAGATGGTATTAGGTACTCTCATGTTTTGAAAAGGAATTTAAGTAGTTTCCTGGCATTCTGAAGCTAGTTGACAAGGTCTGAACTGTTTGAACCCTACTCCTGCCATGGCTTTGAAAAGATATTTCAGCTTTACTTATCCTCTTGCGTGATTTTATTTTTAATTCAGCTCTTGTTCGATGCTGTTTGGCTTTTAAATAGCTGTTAAAATTTAATAAGAGAACTAGTGAGTTTGACTTTACTGATTAGTTCATCTATGATTGGCTTTTGTATCACTGACTGTTCAACTTGGAAGATTTGGCATATTTGACTTCATATGGACATGAATCAACTGGGGACTGAGTATGCAGATAGGGGTTCCTCCTGTTTTCATTGTTCCAACAGTACCTTTTCACACTTATTTTTGCTAAAGCCGCTGCAACACCAATTATCTTCTGCAGCTTTTGGTTTGGCTTGTCATATTGGTGTCTTAGCTGATCTTCCTACTGTTGGAGTGGGAAAGAATGTAAGTTTAAACTTCTTTGTCCACTTGAAGTTTCATGGAAAATCTGCATAGATTCAGTCCTCATGTGCTTTTGTTAGTTCCCACTTCTTGCCCTGGGATTCAGAAATGATCAACTGACAATTATAGCCCATTTGGCCAAGCCGCAAAAATCAACTTATTTTGAGAAGTGTTTTTTCTCAAAAGTGCTTTCAAAAGTACTTTTGGTGAGAAGCAATTTGTGTTTGGCTAATTAATTTGAAAAGTACTGCTGAGCAACAATTAGTGTTTGGCCAAGCTTTAAAAAACTGTTTCTAAGTGTATTTTTCTCAAAAGTGCTTTTCAAAAAAATGCTTTTGGAGAGAAGCTACTTTTTTCTGCTTCTCCAAAAACTGCTTCTGCTTCTCCTCAAAAGCACTTTTTTTCTTTCAAAAGCTTGGCCAAACGCCTTAATTTTAGAAAAAAAACACTTTTGACAAAAAAAAAGCGCTTTTGCCTCAAAAGAAGCTTGCCAAACAGGCTATTACTCTATGTGGAATACTTAACTGGCAAATATCTCCTAGTATTCTTCCCGTTGACTTGTTTATATAGTTTTCACTTCTTATTGATACTAAAACTTGGCTATTGCATTATTTTTGTATAATTAGTTGCCTCATTTGTGCACTGGTTTATAGATATTTTCTGTTCTTATCTGTTTCCAGTTGCACCATGTGGATGGTCTTACACAATCTAGGGTAAGAGAAATCCTTCAAGCAGCGGACTCTCCTGAAAATGTCTTACCCCTAATTGGGGACTCTGGATGTACCTGGGGAGCGGTAAGGAGTTAGTTAATTATTTTGTGTCCATGAAATAATACAATTATGGTGTAAACTGTAATGTTCAATTATTTTCTAATGAATCCTTCCGTGAATCACTCTTCAGAAAAGGTGTGGATTTTGGAGGCCTTTTGTTTTCTAACTAGCAACTACACATTATACTTAATGTTTCCAGTATGTTGTATTGGTTTTCCGGTTGATATTCTGTGAAATATTAAGTTATAATCTTACTACACACAGAAGATTATGATATGCTGGTCTCACGGGAAACGTAAAATACTCTTTTAACTACTAGTTCCAGAAATCACAAGGTCCAACTTTGGGTTGAGTCAACTAATTGTGAGCTTTTATCGTAGTATTCATCACAAGGTCCAAATTAGGTGCAAGTTGATTAAATCTTTATGCAGGCAATGCAATCATCTCAGGGCTCTTTGAAGCCCATATTCATTTCAGTTGGTCATCGTGTATCTCTTGCCACTGCAATTGAGACTGTGAAGATGACTTGCAGATTTCGTGTTCCAGAGCCCACCCGACAGGTAGGTCCAAGAAGTTTGAAAAGAAGCAATACATTGTTGTCATCATTATTCCTTGGTAGTGAAGGAGTTGATAGGGACTCAGCACTATTTATTCAAATTGTGCTAATTGGTTTGTGAATTTACATATTTTATAACTCAACTTGTACTTCTGATGTGTAGGCTGATATAAGATCAAGGGAGCGACTGAGGAACCATCAATGATTATGTCCGTACTTATTTCTCTATCTATTTGGTAGGTTTTCATATGATTAGAGTGCCGATAATATCATACCATTTTTAAATAGGACGCGAAAAGGTTATTAGAGGTTGAGTTCAAGAGCTGTTGAAGTCTACATAAATATCTGCAGATATACTTCTATATCTGCAGATAGAGATTGAGAACCTCCTGCTTCCATATCTGCAGATATACTTCTACATAAATAGTCTTCCAACCTCCAACACCCCCCCCCCCCCCCCAACACCTTATATTTTATCAGGAACTTGTCCAAACATGGTCCAGTTAAGCTTACTTTGGTTTTTGTGTCATACAGGATGATTATGCTTCATCTTTAATTTGGAACTTCAGTTGGGCCACGATTGAAGTGTCATGTTCGTGACATGTCTTATGTGTAGTGCTCCGTTGTTGATACCATGGAATGCTCGACTGAACGAGAACTGCACTTATATATATAGAGGGGCAAATGGAGAAGAGGAGAAGGGAAATATCATTAGATTCTGAGTGAAGAAAACATAGTGAAAGAGCATTAGATTATGAGGAAGATAACATTCATACAGATACTATTTTCCATTTCATCTTTTCTTTATAATATCAGCATTTTGTTGGCCTTTTTGCAGTTCTCCCNACAAGGGTCATTTCAAGTTATCCATAAACTCTCTCAGGAAAAGCCGACAGTCATAGTTTACGGTGTCTACTTTATCAAATCACACTAGTTTATCATAGTTGGCCTTGGATATAATTTCTAATATTTCATAAAATGAAATACTTAAACTTCTTATAATAGAAATCTCACACAGGTATACTCCGGTTTTCTTAAATTTCAAATTTCAAAAATAAACACTTTAACTTTCAATATGGAAAGGAAATTTAGCAGTTTTGCTCCCAAGATATTGTTTTATTTTGATTTTTAGCCTTCTAGGAGCGTCTATGGTTCCGTTGGTTCGATTTTACTTAAAGAGAAACCAAATCAACTGATATATCTTTCGCATAGGGGGCGGCTAGAGGGTATAGCACCTAAAGCAAGTGTTTTAGGGGCTCGTTTTTTATTTTATTTTTTATAAACAAAACGTGTAAATATTAATTTTTCCCCAAAATGGAGATCACTAGACGATGAAAATGCAAAAAATATAACTTTGAATGTTCTTTAAAATATGATAATCACGATCATATTGATGGTTTAAACATATTTTCTAATTAAACGTTTTAAGAAAAATAGTACGAGTAGAAAATTAATGATGCACTTAATCAAATACAAAGATCTGATTCCCTTCATTATGTTTATATTACTTATAGAATGATATTACCTCAGCAGAAAGTAGATTTTCAATATTAAAATTAATAAAATCTTTCTTGAGATTATCAATGTTTCAAGAGAGATTAAATAAATTAATATTATCAATCCAAACAAACTTATTATAATTAACTTTATGGTACGCGCCTTGCGCGTGTATCTATATTAATAAATATATAATTTAAAAATTTAGAACATTATTTTTGATTAATATATTTGAATTATAAAATAAAATTATATTATAAAATATAAATTTCGGAAAATGATAGAATATTGATTCCAATTAGCTAGACTGTCTCATGTAAAATTTATTTGTGAAGAGTAAAAATGTCGATCAATATTTCGCGAAGAGCGTCCTTTTAGAGTACGCGCTTTGCGTGTCTATCTATATGTGACATTCAATTCTTATGTGTCATTTTGAAAGTATTTGTTGGATTTGATGTTGAGCTAAAGAGTATCATAATTATGAATATTGAGTTAGTTTATATCTAATTATAGTATTTAGTAAAATGTGTACTTACATTTTAGTACATAAATTATTCCTAATGAGAGTTGCACATTGGACCAAAATTATTCCTAATGGAATTATTATATTTTAATAAAGCTTACAGAACTAAATTATGTGTCTATGGGAACTTTTATACCTTTCTAAACACTCAAATTGATTCTAAGGATTCACATCCCTCTTATTCACTTTGGACCGAGTGGAACTTGCAATAGGATTGGAAGTTTGGAACTCTTTCTCGCATGTCCAAATGCAATTTGGTGAATACGGAATACTTATTTGAAAATTTAGTTGATTTACATAGGGTAAAAATATTTATTAATTTTAGAGTCCTAAATATTAAGACTTCGTACATAGTTCAAATAAGGAATAATTTAATAAGCAAAATTTTAATTGATTTTAATGTCCTAAATATTAGGAAATTAATTAAATTGATTATTTTGTCCAGTATAAACTCTATTATTAAGGAATACAAAAGGCGAATAACATTTCACTAAGGGCTTTCATGCTTTTAATATAGTATAGATATAGATAAATCGATCATAAACGTATTACTAATAAGTTTACATCTAAAAAATCTAAAGAAATATATTTCCAAAAAAAAAAAATACTATAAAGTTTTTTGAAGCCAATGCATCAAGTTTTTCTTGAATCCTAACAATGTCAAAGCCAAGGAAGAAGAAAGTTAAGAAAATCTAAGCAAAACCTTCATTCATAACCCTGAAAATGACTTCTTTACATATAAGGAAATTAAGACCTAGGGTCAAAGTGAAAAAAAAAAAAACTTAGGAATAATAATATAACTAACTTATTGGACTCAAATGTAAAAACCAAAACATAACAAGCCTCAATAATTTTTTTTTCTCAATCAGAAGAAGCTTGCCCATTTCGAGCAAAATCTGAACCGAAATCTTTGAGAAATCCCAAAGTTCTGACAAAAATCTTTGAATTGGAAAAAGTGAAGCTTTGTCATCACCAACGTTCGAGTGCTATTGTGAGCCCCTGCCATAGAGCTTGTAGTTTAGCCTCTAAGCTGGTGGTATGTGGCAGGCCTGTCATATAACCTAGTACTCAGTCACCCCTGCTATTCCTTATGACACCCACAGTTCCTCCTACTCTTGATTTTGGGCATGAAGCCCCATCAATGTTAAGCTTATAGGATCCTATAGGAGGTGGCTCCCAATTGATATGGATTACAGTTGATTCACCTTTATCCCTATGTTGGACAGCCACATGGTAGTATTCAGTGGCTCTGGCAATGGTTTGTTTAACAGGGGCAAGGTTCTTTTTCTTTTCAAAAAGATTGTTGTCTCTTGTGAGCCATAGGCTCCAAAAACAGAAAGGCAAGAGGGTTTTCCAATTGATAACATTGTTGAACTGCATGTTCTTGACCTTGTGCCATGTATCTTCCCAGTGGATCATTGGGAACACAAGGTATGGATGGGAGGTCTTGTTAGTACACTCTAGTGTTATGGATTGCCAGAATGCTCTGGCATTTGAGCATTCAAAGAAGATATGATTGATGTCTTCCACTCCAGAGGAGCAGAAATGGCATATTGTGTTTACATTTAAGCCTATGCTACTTAAGTACTTGGCAGTGGAAGTCTGTTATGCTGCATCATCCAAGTGAAGAATTTTATCTTATTAGGGACCTTTAGCCTCCAGATCTAGTTGAAGGTATCATCATGGTTTGAATTGGAGTCTAGCTCAGAGCTGATCAGGTTGTAGGCAGATTTGGAGCTGAAGCCCATTACCATTGAGGTTCCAATGAGCTTATCCTCAAAGTTGGTAGAAAAAGGATGAAGTTGGATTGAATAACACATATGATGTCCCTGGGATGGGGTAGTGGATAACATTAAATGTCCATTCCCCATTGCCGAGGATAGAGCTGATATTAATGATCAAGTCAGAGTTGTGCCAAGGCCCCTGGAGGATTGTGTTGAGGGGATGCATAATGGGGATCCTTTAATGACCCATCCAGTCGTTTTGAGAATTTACACCCCGATATCCTATTAACTGATTCTCCGTATCTATTTTCTACTATTGTGACTTGTCGTGATGATTTATTTAGAGTTCCGGAGTGTTTTGGGACACTTAGTCCCTAATCAGAGGCTTAAGTCTTAGAATATTTGGAGCGGTAGTGAACTTTTGATATCGGGGTCGGAATCCGATTTCTGAAGTTGGAATAGGTCCGTAATGATAATTATGACTTTTTTGTGTAAAAGTTGAGGTCTATCGGACGTGATTTGACAGGTTCGACACTCTAATATGGATCTGATGATCTTGAGAGTGCGGACGCAATAGAATTGTGCGGACCGCAGTGGCGAAAGCCTACGGAGTGCGGACGTAGCAGAATTGTGCGGACCGCAGTGATTGGCAGAGTGCGGCCGCAACGGAATTATGCCGACCGCACAATGGAGGTTTAGAGGGCACTATATAAAGTCGAAATTTAGGGTTTTATTTCATTTTTGGACTTTGAGAACTCGTTTTGAGACGATTTTTTGTGGGTTTTTCAAGAAATTCATCGAGGTAAGTGATTTTGACTCGAATTTAGTTAATATACATGAATATATCACAAATTCATACTTTGATGGAAATTGGGGAAAATTTGTAGAAACTTCAAATCCCAATTTTATGGTTTATGAAGTTTCTACAAATTTTCCCCAATTTCCATCTCAAAGTACAAATTAAATGATGAAATCCGTGAAGTGGAATTTTTTTAACAGTTCCATAGCCTCTCGAAGATAAGTATAGACATCTCCGTGCCGATTCACGAGACTCTAATAAACCGGCTTGTGACTCACGACTCCTAGACCTTAGGAGCCTTATTATGCACCTCCAGTATCTAGTGCGCCTCCTGCACGGTGTGCTTTCAGTGGTCAGTACAGCAGACCTGGCCCGAGCCAGTTACAACCGCCACACCCTCTTAGAGCTTGTTTTGAGTGTGGCGACACATGCTATATGATGAGGGATTGCCCTAGACTTAGGAGGGATGCACTTCCACAGACTTCTCAGCCACATCGTGCTCCACATGGTTCCTAGGTTATGATCACTGTAGACATGTGATTTTTGACCCTCCCCGAGATTTCACCCATTTTAGCATAAAATATTTAGTTTAGGCCTAATATCGATATTTCAATTAGTTTTGACTCTTTTACTTTATTTTATCAAAAAATAAAAATTACAAAAGTATTTCTTCTTTTTAGTTGCTGTTAGTTTATATACCTTTCGTAAAACTAAAAAATACCAAAAATAGTACCTTATTTTTATTTTAATATGATATTTGAAAATACAAAAAAAAAGGTTTGTTTTAATGATTAGTTTTATCTTAATAGTTATTTTACTTAAGTAGGATTAATTGGTAAATGAGGTCGTATTTTTAGTCTTGTTCATGGAGAAAGAATAAAATTTGGGCTCAAACAACCCATTTTAAGCCTAATTTTCGAACATAGCCCATAATTCCCAAGCCCATAATTTATAGGCCCATACCACTTAACCTAAAAAACCCTACAAAACTACCCTAGACCCCTAAGATCAGATCCGTCGCAATACACAATAGGCACCCCCAGCATTGCATCTCCTTTTTCAGTGTTAGAACCTAAAGACTGAAAATCTATCTGCCGTTTTGAATAAAAAGAGACCCTTGAAGCATCAGACCTATACAATCTAAGACGCCGTTACCCTAGCTTCATCTTCTTCATGGAGAACACTAAAGAACCCTAATAAAAAATAAGACCTTTCAGCTGCAGTAGCCATAAACACATGACTTCCTCCAGCGTTGCTTCTGCTTCCTCTACAAACCATAAGCAACCGTTG